GTTAAACAAGCAGTTATCGTCATGTGACATTTGTCATTAGATAAGCCTAGACGGCTTCGTCTGTAGAACTATCTGTTAAATGAGCAGTTTTGGTTAAACAGCAGCATATACAAATATCTTATTTGTGATAACGAGTTTTCAGTTAATGTTCAATCTGAAATACATGTATGTCTTGATCAGATTTTGTTTAGTTGTATGTATTCACATTGTAAATTATCTTAAATGATAATCTTGTGCCTTCTGTTTCTTAAATATTACAAAAGAAATCCAGAATAAGTTTCAATAGATTCACTATGTCAGTGAGGATGATTTGTAATGACTGACCTCTGATGTTCTTATCATTTGTCCTCTAAGAAGTTCTGAACTGACAACATGATATCTATTGTACTCTACTTCTGATTATTATTATCATCATGCCATGTTTGGCATTAAATATGCCTACAGGGCTTAGTCTTTAAAACAAACTGTTAAACAGTGTGGGTTATCCTGGAGTATTTAGGCATTGATAATAATACTAGTATCGGTCGATGTTGATCTGAAGTACATGTATATAATGATATGGTTTTGTTTAGTTGTATGTATTCACATTGTCAATAACCTTCTAAGGTCATCTTGTGTGTGCCTTCTGTTTCTTGAAATATTACAAAAAGGTCCAGATTAAAGTTTCAATAGATTCACTCTGTCAGTGAGGATGATTTGTTATGACTGACCTCTGATGTTCTTATCATTTGTCCTCTAAGAAGTTCTGAACTGACAACATGATATCTACTGTACTTCACTTCTGATTATTATTATCGTCATGTGACATTTGTCATTAGATAAGCCTAGACGGCTTTGTCTTTAGAACAAACTGTTAAATGAAAAGTTTGGGTTTAACTGCAGCATAGACAAATATCTTATTTGTGATAACAAGTTTTCAGTTAATGTTCGATCTGAAATACATGTATGTCTTGATCAGATTTTGTTTAGTCATATGTATTCACATTGTAAATTATCTTAAAAGATAATCTTGTGCCTTCTGTTTCTTAAATATTACAAAAAAAATCCAGAATAAGTTTCAATAGATTCACTCTGTCAGTGAGGATGATTTGTAATGACTGACCTCTGATGTTCCTATCATTTGTCCTCTAAGAAGTTCTGAACTGACAACATGGTATCTATTGTACTCTACTTCTGATTATTATTATCGTCACACAATATTAGGCATTAAATAAGCCTCAACAGCTTTGTCTTTAGAACTATCTGTTAAACAAGCAGTTTGGGTTATCCTGGGACATAGACAAATATAACATATGCAAAAATAGTTTTAGTTAATGTTGATCTGAAATATATCTTGATTAGATTTTGATAACTTGTATGTATTCACACAATAACATTCAAAGATGATCATATGTCTGCCTTCTGTATCTTGAAATATTACAATAAAAGGCAATAATAAAGTTTAATAGAGATTAAAGATGTAAGTGAAGATGATCTGTTTTAACTGACATCTGCTGATGTTCCTATAGCTATGAAGTGCTGAACTGACAACTGACTGTGCTTAACTTCTAAGTATTATTATATGTGACATTTGGTATTGAATAATTCAAGAGGGCTGAGTCTACAGAAAAAATTGTTTTATGAGCACTGTGCACGTGAGCTATCCTGGGACAGACAAATGTAATATCATAGGTGATACTAATATTAGTCTTCTATTAATGTTGATCTGAAATATTTCCTGATCAGATTTTATTTAGTTGTGTGAATTCACATTGTCAATTATCTTCTATTAAAGGTCATCTTGTTGTGTATGCCTTCTGTTTCTTGAAATATTACAAAAAAATCCAGATTAAAGTTTCAATAGGGATATACCTGTCAGTGATGATGATCTGTTATGACTGACCTCTGTGATGTTCCTATCATTTGTCCTCTAAGAAGTTCTGAACTGACATGATATCCGCACTGTAAACATATTCAACTTCTGATTATTATTATCATCATGTGATATTTGGCATTAAATACGCCTAGACGACTTCGTCTTTATAACAAACTGTTTAACAGTGTGGGTTATCCTGGAGCATAGACAGATATCTTATATTTGTTAATAATATTAGTTTTCAGTTGATGTTGATCTGAAATATATCTTGATCAGTTTTTGTTTAGTTGTATGTATAACCTTTTAAGATAATCTTGTGCCTACTGTTTCTTTAAATATTACAAAATAGTGGTGAGTAAATTAAAATTTCAATAGAGATATTCCTGTATTAAATAAATAAATATGAAAATGTGCGTTTATAGTACTATATCAAATTTCAGAAGGTTTCATAGTAAAAGTGTGAATATATATTTAGCCAGTTAAAGATATAGAGTTGTCTCCCCTTGCATGTATTATTTCTGGAGATTATCTAAGCCTGTCAGTGATGATGATGTTTATGGACTGAATCTTTCTGATGTTTCTATCATTTGTCCTCTAAGAAGTGCTGAACTGACGTCGGGTGGAGATGTAGCTACATAACGTACATTTGACCATTATAGTTGCTCAAGTTTGTTAGCTGCAGTCTGTATGAACTGTATTAAATAATCACAATATTAATGTGGTTCTTGACAGCAGTCTTGTTTGCCTCATGTTTGTCCTAAGAATTGCTGAACTGATGTTATTGTGTGGTTAGACACATTTAGCCATAACCTTCACACTTACACGGTTTTGTGTACAGTTTGTAACTATGCAATATGTATTATAACTATGGTTATTCTATAATTATAGTCAATGTATAATGTCAGTAAAATTATTATCCATCAGTCATGGACTGATATATACTTACTGATGTCCATTACCAATCTTCTAAGAAGTACTGAGCTGACATGTAGTATCAAAACTAGGTATTTTGAAGTTGAAATATAAAACAACCATGTACTTAACTTACAGTCACTCTGATGGTGGTACCTACACTGCTTATTTATGTAAATGTACATGTACCACACAGTTTTATTGATTTAAAATAGAAAAACATGCTAATTATCCTCAACTTCTGTAAAATGACATTGATATGATCATGAAATGAAAATTCATAAGTGTACTGGTCACCCATTCATTAGAGAAGATTAACATGATAGCATGTTTGTATGTTGTAGCTTCCTGATGGGAGAGTGATAAAAGTGGGCGGGGAAAGGTTTGAAGCCCCAGAGGCCCTGTTCCAGCCCCATCTCATCAATGTGGATGGAGTTGGTGTGGCTGAGCTCCTATTCAATACAATCCAGTCTGCTGACATGGACACAAGACCCGACTTCTACCGTCACATTGTCCTTTCGGGTGGCTCCACCATGTACCCAGGCCTCCCCAGCCGACTAGAGAGGGAGCTTAAACAGCTCTATCTGGAGAGAGTGCTGAAGGGAGACACTTCGAGACTCTCTGTAAGTATACCCAGATGACAAGAATGTCGCAATACACCCTAACTGTAACGCTGTGGTAGTAGTGACTAGATAACAATAGCAATAGTAGGCTAGACTATTCATGAAGTATATAACAACTTCTTTCTACACTATGTCGGTAAAAGCCAAAAATTATAGGCACTTTCCATATGACTTTGAATAACAGAGGAAAAGTCTTTAAGTTTAAATCATCCTAGGTTGTCATAGTTTTCTTATAAATAAAACATATTTATTAGTGTTGTTCAGATAAATCGATTTAGTCAACGTCTGGTTGATTGTTTCTGAAAATCGATTAATGGATCCTTGTTTTCCATGATCGAATATAGTTTGAACAATTTAAGTCTCAACAAAATATAAACTTGGATACTGTTATTACCGCCGACAGCGAGTTGTTCGTTCTTGGGCAAAACAACTTGACCGAAGGTCTCGCACAACGACAACGCTGATTGGCTAGCCAGTCCACCCTGCAACAACCAATCAGAACTTGCGTTTCAATAGAAATGCTGCATGTCTCAGTCAGTGCTGACAATATGGCAAACCAGGCATTCCGGAAACTAAACTCTAAAGTCATCCGGGGGCTACTGATTTAAACGTTTGGAAGGTATTGTTTGTCCTTCGCTGAAGATAAATTTTACAAATAATGTTAAGTTTGACGGGGTGTTATCCGGTGAATACCAATCCATCGCGGCATTTCTGAATACGTCACTTGATTGGAAGTGATCATCGATTAGTATGAATTTACAAGCGATTCCCAACACTAATATTAATGTCTGATAGTTAATTTGTTAAAACCAGTGTTAATAAGGTTAACCAACATGAAAACCAATCACAGTTGTACCTTATTCCATCTTTCCAGCTACTGCTAATCCACTTAAGTCATGAAATATTGAATTGTGCTTATTTTTGTTGTAGAACATAATTGTGAACAACTGAATATACTCTCTGTTTAATTGTATCGATAAATATTCAGGAATCGCCTTGCTAGTCAAAACAAAAATGTGTACTTCGATGAAGTATAAGAAATATACAGTATAAATAATCGAGTTTGATTATCACCTCTGCTGATGAGTGTACAAGATATCACTGAAAGAGTTAACGGTGCACTACTTACATTTGCTGAATCATTGATGGGTTTGTGCTGCATAATAAGGGGTAAATTGACAAGTATACAGATGTATGTTATTTTGATGAGATACTCACAGAAACAGTATTTATTGTGTCTGTTGACTAATCAGTATAGACAGTCATAGAATTGATAACAAGCATGGCTACAAGTTAAAAGTATTTTCTACAATGTGATATTTTCCACAATGTGACTAATTAGGGTTAATTGCTCAAATGTGAATGTAGGAAGACTGATATGATTTTACATGTAATACAAGTGGTTGTTCGTGAAGAGGCAACAACAGATCTAGATGACATGTCTTTTCAGTAGCAATACAGTGTGGGTGTGTCTGGTCAGTGTTGGTAGGTGTATGTTCTTGCCTCACCTGCTGCAGTGTCGTGTAAAACATGATGTTGAACACTGTCTTGTAGTGATAGGTTTGCGTTCTAACTGAGCAGGCAGGAAGTTTTATGAATAGTCAAATATTTGTATGCCTGTTTGAGATAATGTTACAGAATTTATTTCTTGTTGAAAAGGATATAATTGAATGATTTCTTTTAATAATTATTAATGGAAATAAGCTTGTGTATGTTAAAAATGTTCTGATGTTTCAGATAATTCCTTTATATCATCATGATAACACTGCAGTCTATTTCTGATATACACAAGTATTGTAATATGGAGGGATAAACAATTGTAGCAAAAAGTTGTTTAGAAGACTATCTGCTTTTATTGTTCCTCTCTGCTTGTATACATGCTGGTCGTATTGATTTCATGTTTTTCTTTTCTGTCTACTTGCCAGTCCAAGGTAACTTGACTTTTTTCATTATTAGGCATGTGTTTTCTGTGATTGATTTGACGTTTATTTTCATTATTTACAGACATTCCGTGCATGCAAATTACAAGTGTTATGTTGTTATGTTGTGCTGTGTTTTTGTCCCACTACTTGCACTTTTGATGTTAAATCTTTTTTAAAGTAGAACAAAATGTTACTTTATCTATTAATTTAATTTTACAGAAATTTAAGATTCGGATAGAAGACCCTCCCCGGAGGAAGCACATGGTATTCTTAGGTGGTGCTGTGTTAGCAGACATTATGAAGGATAAGGACAGTTTCTGGATGACACGAGAAGAATACCTGGAGAAAGGTGTGAGATGTTTAGACAAACTATTGACACCTGTCACATAACTCTCTTGACAGACGATCATTTAACTAGTGCCACAACAGATCACCATTCCAATCAACTGTTGACAGGATCTGGCCGGAATGCATGTGTTCAACTTCTTAGCATGTATGTAATTTTCTCTTCAAGTATCATCTTTACTCTGAATTCATATACCCGAGGAGTGCTGCAGTTTGGAAAACTGAAGTTAACCCATGTGGCTGGAGTACTTCTGTTGGAGAAATTATGCAATCATCTTTGAAAAAATGTTAAATGTATAGATGATTTAATAAGTTTATATGAGATAATGGAATTATTTATTTTCAGCAGTTATTACAAAATATTTTATCATGACTTTGGCGCTATGTTTACCCAGCTATTTAATTGGCCAGCGAGAACTAGTAATACATCGGTATATATAATGAACTAGATATTTATTCCAGCAAAGTCCTTACTTTATTTCTCATCACAGTTTAACCTAACTGTTATTTATTCAATGTTTAAGACAACTTTGACCACAGTTTCTGACCTGCTAATATTGTTCTACATTTCTTGCAGCAATGCATGTATTCACTCAATGTTCCAGCCTCTCATTGTTCATTGTAACATTATCAAACTTGTGATATTAATTTCCAGTTGGAAAGAATGTGAGTACACATGCATGCGATTGATTTCTGAGACCACATACAGCTGTTTTGATTTACAAGCTGACGTAGGACATGTGTGCCACAACTTTTACTTTGGCCTATGTTGTAAAAATCCTGGTAAAATGAAAACGGTGGGGAAAATTTGAATTTATTTAGTAGTTGAACTTAGAATACCTCCCATTGAAAATTATCATAAGTGAAATGTAAAAGTATATCGACATTATTGCATCAATGCAATCTTGATGTAAATTCCCAATATGATGCCACAATCAAGGCCGAATATTTGAAGGTCACATGTTCTAAAGTACTGATATTGTGACATATTATCGAGTGATCTGTAGAAAAGCATCTGATAAAAATCAGGATAACGGGGATTATATCCAGGCTTTGTACAACCGGCTCAGTGTGAGAATGAATGCTAATGTTTCCTCATTTCCTCTCAGCTTTGTGCAGTTTCACAGGTTTATGATTACTACAAACATATTACTACATCAGTACTTTAATGTGTTCTCAAGTTAGGAAGAACCATCTTCACAATTATTGTCTCAATTTTAGAGAATTTTTATTCTATAACCAAAATGAAAGGAGTAAACATAACTTATTTGAATTGTTATGTTTTGTAGTAATCATGAATTTGTGCTATCCATTTTTTGTTTTGCTTCTTCAGTTAACTTTTCTGTTTTATTTTGGTGCAACTCTTTGGTGCTTCCAGTGGCTTACTTTAAGGATTTTGATATTTGAAACATCTGCTGTGTGCTTGCCATCAAAATACACAAACCAATCTAGATCTTGTGTATTTGTGTAGAGTTGAATGAGTAAGACGGTACCTTCACATGTTGTGGTCCAACAGTTAGCGAATACCTAGTGCCTTTATGTGAGGGGGAAATTACTGAGCATTCTCTCCAGTGTACAAGGATTGTACTTAAACCCTGTGCTGCTGCTAAGGATGAGGATAATACCAGTTTTATATCTAGTATAGAACAGTATATTTATGACTGAAGCATTCCTCATACTATTTCTGTCTTTAATAACATTTAATCTTGTTCTGTTGATCCGTTGTCTATTTATACAAAAGATTTTTATTGCATATTTTTTTCATAAAATAGTTTGAATTGTTAATATTATTGAATGTTTTCAATAACTGTGTCCTACGTGTCTATTAGCGCTACACATGTATCCGTTTAGAACAACTGTTTGAGCATACTTTCTAACTGTATCAATTTTTTCTGCATATTTTTACTACTGTATGTAGCGATGTTAATATTGTCTGGTTTATTTTTCAGCTAGAGTAGAAACTTCCTCGTTTTGGTCAGAAAATAACATGCTACCACAGTATCACATTTCACCATGTTACTGTTAACATTGACTAATCAATAGATAAGGCCCCCTTTCGCGTATTCGGTTCAACCGGTTCGTTCGATTTTAAATGAAACATTTTCAGGTATGAATACTGGCGGACCTGCAATTGTTTGTGCAGGCCTTGCAAGGCTTTGTCAAGGCTCGCCTGAAATCAGCATTAGATTAATTACTAGGTCTGACCTTATTTCATAAATGGTTCAGCGGTTTGGATCATGATGAACAAAGTGGCCAAGGTCTTGTGCATAGTATTTAATGGAATACTTGAAAAAAGGCATACATATACTTTAATAAGATCTGGGGATGTAGTCCATGCAAAACCCTACTGACTAGTTACCAATCCGTGCTGTGGATTTCAAATTATTTCTAGATTACAGTAGTCGTCTCATACAAACACAGAGTTATTGCTAGGATACCACTGTAAGGCTTGTCTTGTAGAAACACTCTCTAAGCAATTACTCAATGAATTATGAAAATAATTTCAAGTCATTCACCGTTAAACTACCCAGTCAGTCAAGACAACTCGAAACACTTAAGTTGTTCAAATTTTTGTCATATTTTTTTTCTCAGTTAACTTCTAGTTATACTAGCAAAAATAGTTCACAAACGTTTTCGTTTTTGCTAGTCAAAGATGAACGATTTTTATTTAAAATCTGATTTAAGAAATTTTATTTTCCTGAGGCAACTTGGCATGAAAGTAATGAATTATGGGCTTGTAATTTTTTTTCTGTATTATACACTGATTTAACATTAAAATAGAGGCAAGTGACAGCAGGAAGATGTAAGAGGTAATACATCCCAAAGCGACCACTTTTCGTGCAATGATACCATCGCCAGTTTCTTCACCCACTTACACAACATTTAAGTCGTATGTTTTTGTTTATGTGTGATTATTTTATTAGAATGCAATTTCAAAAATTCATGGATAACGTATGGATGAATGTATGTAGGTTCATCTCTGTGATATATAAATAATATGAAGGCCATACATATATATATATATAGTATGCCAGGATTTTTTGTTTCCTATTTTAAAAGAGAATGTCGAGTGAATGAAGTATATTGTACAACGGTGTATATATAGTTTTGTATCGTTATGAACAAAATATAGTGTATGATAACCATAAATAATGGCTCACTGTATAAACCAATGACATGGGACGACCATCAGGTGTTGTATATAATTTTGTACATGTATTGAAAAACCTTGATGGACTTGTCTTAAGTTGTTAAAAAAAACTTTGATGAAAGATTTCATCAAAATTAAAAATGCTTTTATTAATGTAAATCTATTTTGTGTTATTTGTGAGTGTCTGCTATATAGTATTCTAATTTCTGTGGTACAACGGTAGATTTTACTTCTCCAAAATTATGGGATGTTCCCAGAAGACCACCTTCAGTTGACCAATAAATCGCTTGGCCAGTGTTTTTCAGAAGGGAGAAATTGATATAAGCTAAAAAATAATCGGGAACACAAGGTCAGCACAGAAAGACAACATGGCGCGATAAGAAATGAGGTCCTCGCAGATTCCCAAGATGAATTGAGATCAATTTAGACAATCAATCCAGGAGCCATTTTCTCGATAAGGGGAGAAAACACCCTATGGCCGTTCTTTACTTTACCATTGAATGGATACCACACGAGACCAGTGGTAATTTTCATAGTTATAGCGTCAACGGGTGGAAAATTAGACTGGATTCAAGAATTTCCTAGTTAATGATAAACAACCCGATCCGACTGCACCCATAATTAGTGGAGTCACCAAGAAGGAGTATACTAGGCCTATCACTTTACTTTCTCTTCATAAGTTATACGGCAGCGCGTGAAACCCAAGACTTGGCTTTTGGCAGACGACTGCATGCAATACAGGGGAATACCATTTATTCTGGATAACTAGTCCCTACAGGAGAGACCTGAGGGGTGAAGAAGGCAAACAGCTCCTTTGGTGTTCCAGCAAAGGAGTTTCAGAATTAGTTGCTGAAGACACAGGCATTTGTTTCTGTCAATATAAAGATAGTCACCAGAAAAAATATGAGTAGGGGTGTGATTTCTTTTCTCATGACTGTTTTTATTGACAAACAAATGCCTGTGTCCGAAGACCAAGTTGACAGCAGCCTATTCAATAATGAGGTCGACGCTGGAGTTCTGCATATTAAAGGTAGCCCGTATACTAATTATAATGTAGAAATGGTGAATCCTCTGTATGTACATATTTGAATAGTTTGGGGATTGGTATAGAGGTAACGGAGCGTAAAATATGTATCCTACTTTATGCAGATGAACTGGTGATCATGATCATGGCTAGTACTGATCGTGGTCTCCAGTTATTACTAAATGGTCGCAATATTAGTTACACGGATTTTTGGCAGGGTATACGGGATGGAATGACCCTACAGGCCTCGGGAAATAAGAAATCATGTAGGGTCATACCATCCCGTATACCCTGCCAAAAATCTGTGTAACGAATTTTCTACCCCTTTGAGTCTTTTATAATTGTTTTGTGGCACATAGTTAGCCCTTTTGGCGAGTATTTCCACATCAGTATGCGAAGCGAAACGTTTTGCCATTTTGTAAACAGCGAAGCAGACGACGAATGCGAGTTGTCTCCAGTTGCCCTGCCGCAAGAGACAAAGTCACGTGACCCGTATACCCCTTGTAAAATCACGTGATTCGACCGTATTACTGCTGAGAATCACGTGACATGACCGTATACCCCCTGAGATTTACGAATGCGGTTTGGTACACTGTAGTTTTTAACCAATCAGATTCCTAGATTTTTCTCAAAGGTGAAATAATACTTGTTGTGAATCCAATAAACTTTAATATTAATGCTGAAATGTCTGCTATTGTACATTTCCGTCCAACGTCTGTAACAGTCAGTGATAGTATTTTTTCGTGTGTGAAGCTAGCCCTAGAAATACGTAGCCAGTATACATCAATGGGAGGCTTACCATATAAAACCTTCACAAATCTGTATGAGAACATTGTGAGCAGGAATTAGTTACGGTGCTGCTATATGGGGTACACATACATTTACTTATATTGTCTACATAATCTGTCGGATACTAGATTGAATAAAGCTGTATTTACATGGACTGGGCATTTAGGTGACCAACGAAATAAAAATTGGAATTTCAGGGTAATGTCAAGACTCCGAGAGCTAAAAGGCTTGGATAACTATAGCATTACTAACTATAGCAAACAAATACTTAAAAAAGTTAAGGTCCGTGGCTTGGAATTGTTTATTGAAAATTGGAAAAGGGAACTTAATCGTCCTGGAGCCAAAAATTGTATTTCTGGAGGTTAGACTTTTCGCAGATGACTGCCTACTCTATGGAGAAATAATCTCAAACAAGGACCACGAAACACCTCAAGACGACCTTAAACAGCTCGAAACTTGGGCTGCAAACTGGGGGATGACATTTAATGCCATTTTTTTTCACATACTTTGTATTAAGAAGAAAAAGCAAAACACATACCAACTTAATGGACACAACTTAGAGCACGTACAGACAAACCCATACCTAGGATTACATTTATCAGGGGATATGAAGTGGAAAGAACATATTGCAAGCACCACAAAAAAGGCCAGTTCTACCTTAGGCTTCATACGACGCAATCTACAACACTACCCCAGAGAATGTAGAAAGACCGCATACATTGCTCTTGTCAGATTCGTCTTGGAATATGGAGCAATAATCTGGGACACGTACATAAAGACGAACATTAACAAATTGTAAAGCATCCAACGGAGAGGGGCGCGTTTCATCCAGAAGAATTACAGAACAAGGGAAGAGGGAGTCATGACCAAACTACTCAAGGAGCTACAACCTCCACCACTAGCATCAAGACGAAAACAACAGATACTAACACTCTATTATAAAATAGTAGAGGAGCAAATTCCATCAATGCCTAGCAAAGACTTTATTAATTTCCAAATTGAAAAAAGGAAAACACGACAGCGTATATTCCAGGACTGCAAGACCAACTTGGATTAAACGAAGCTAAGTATCGCATGCGTACTCAACTATCTCCGCATTAAAGCCATTTTGGTCTCTGTGGAGTATAGCATATGATAGATAGAACAAACTACGTACGTACAGGTTATTTAAGTTTAATTATAAGATAGAAAATTATAATATGTTAGTAATGTCTAAATCCCATCGTAGTGCGCTGGCTAAGTTTAGGTGTAGGGTTGCACCGATACGCATCAAAACAGGCCGGTATGAGAGAATACCTTTGAGTGAAAGAAAGTGTTTCGTGTGTAAAAGCGTTGTAGAAACAGAGAGTCGTGTTTTAATAGAATGTAACTTGTATGATGATCTCCGATCGGGTCTATTGTAGGAGGCCAGTAAAATCACAAGTGATTTTTACAATATGAGTTAAGATGAAAAGTTACTTGTAATTCTAAGCAACCCCTACTTGGCGAAGTCCTGTGCCAAAACCTGTTTTAATATTCTTAATCAACGTCGCAACTTGCTCTATAATTAAGCAGTAATGTGTCTTTTAATGTCAAAGTAACATCGAGTAACAACAGCCAAATGCAAATGCTTGTTTGGTTTAAAAATTTGATATTTTGTATTCCTAAGAAATCTTATAAATGTTGGTAAAAATGATCTAATCACCAACGCTCCAGGAAACAATGTTCCCAAAAATATCGCTCTGTGAGGCCAGCAATCCACAACATGGCAAGTTACGGTAAATGAAATGCATAGATCCAGGAAACAATGTTCCCAAAAAGTTCGCTCTGTGAGGCCAGCAATCCACAACATGGCAAGTTCCGGTAAATAAAATGCATCGATCCAAATAAGACTGAACAGACTACGGAGTAGTGAAACGATGGAGACCAGCATGTTACTACTGAGGAAAGGAAAAAACGTTTTTCATTTAGCCGGACGTAGTAGCTATGGGGTGACCATTTTTGACACGCTGTAGGTAAATACCCGAGTCTAGGGGGTAAAGTGCTGGAGAATAATTGAGACGTAGGTAGTTCTCAAAATTCTTGTAATTCAACGGCAAAATACCACTTATATATAAGTATCTGAATGTGAAATAACAAGAGCGGACATTAATGATACCTATATCATATAATTAGTATAAAGATAACTTATATATGAAGATAAAACCGGTTGGGCTAAAAGTAATCAAACGTTAATCGATAATTTGTTGAAATATTCCGAATGTTCCTGTGTGTTTGGTTATTTATCCGCCTGTCATTGACTTTAAACATATTTTATTAACCAGAATTGGAAAATAGGATTTGGCACAAGTTATTACAACTTATAAAGCCAACAGATGATGAAATAGACTGTCAATTACAATTCATAGTAGTATGAAGCGATTTTTAAAGTAACACATACACATACAAACAAACAAAATCAAAAACATATTTTTAAGTCAAGTCATCATCGAAACATGTTAAAATCTTCCACTGGGTCTAATAAAAGTTTGCACTTGTTTGAATACATCACAATTTGTATCCAAAGCCAGATTTCATTTCCAAACAGTAATAATCTCAACGTTAAATGTACATTTAAATTATTTATATGATCAAAAAGTACAGTACGAGCATTTGTGTAAGGTTGACATTCAAAGAAGAAGTGATAGGCATTTTCGCAATGATAGCCACATTTTAAACAATTAGAGTCTTGGACCAAGTTTGCACGATAAAGATCATGTTTGAGAGGACTGCATTCGTGTCTTAGTTTGATATGAAGAATGTTTAGTTTTCTGTCACCACGTAGGTAATGAGGAGGTACTGTATAGTATGTTGGAGACTAGAGCTGATTTGAAAGATGAGAAAGACATGGATCTAATATTATAGTCTAGAGTATTCCACATTTTTAATGAAGAAAGCAAGAAAGATAAACTAGTAGTAGAGAGTCTGAAATTGGGAATTTTGTAGTCATCATTATTTCTAAGAGCATGTCGGTTTTCTCCTACCTTAGTGGGAAGTAGATTTGTTACGTAGTTTGGGGTTTGATGCCTATCCATTTTGTAGATTAACTGAAGTTTTCGTCTTCTTCTTCTATCCGAAAGTAATTCAAGACCAGTTTCTGTATATAATGATTCATTTCTAGCATATGACGGTAAACCTGTAATTATTCTAGCTACTTCACGCCTGAGCCCTCTCTAACTTTTCAGAATTGACCAGAGTACAACCATCCCAAACCTCACATGCATATTCTAAAACTGGTAATATATAAGTTTTGTAAATTCTTAAGAGAGCATCCCGCTTCAACATATATTTGAGTTTTCGCAAAATATTTATTTTTTTCACTACCGAT